AAAAGACAATCCGACAACAAGCAAGGGGGTCGACCCTTAGACAGGAAGGGTCGACACTAATTTCCAACAACTAACACACAGATTCTGCAATATACAAGGATCAACCCTTCCCAGACTGGTGTCGACCCTTGTGGACAACAACAAGAGGCAGGTGTCGACACCACTAAGGCTGGTGTCGACCCTAAATTCCAGCCACACTTCCAAAAACTTCACCAACAAGTAAGGGTCGACCTTTAGAAGTTTGGAGTCAACCCTAGAATAGAATTTCTAAGTCCCCAAGGAACTTTTGACAAGAAAAAATGCGAACAAACAAACCCAACAAGTTTAAATCAGATTATACTCCTCCAAAACTAACATACAACAACACCAAAAATTTCCAAAATAAAATAAAGGATTCAAATATACTTCCCAAAAGCTTCGAAGGATACATGTGCTAAATTGATAGTACTAACCTAGTCAGAGTCTCATGCAGTCATACTTCTTAGTTCCTATACATTCAGGTATCCATCCTTCTCCTGTAAACTTTTGTCCTCCTATATATATTTTCTTTTTATTTCTTCCAACCTTCCCCATTTCAGGTGGAAAATGTCAACAAATCATATACGTTGCTGCTTGATAGATGTTGTGTGTACTGGCTAAATTAAACTATTCACCCTCAGACTTTCACCCAAATTTTAATTTGGTCCCCCATCTTCTAATTGTAATAATTAGGTCCTCAATCTTTAACTTGCATTTCAATGTGGTCCTCTCATCACTTTGGTTAAAAATTTGGACGGGAAGTGCTGACCTGAGGGCCACGTGAGCACATTTTAGGGACATTATAGGAAAAAAATAACTTATATGACAAATTACGCTTTTCACATTCTAAATTTCTCTCAAATTTCACTTTAGTCCCTCATGTTTCAACTTTACTCAAATTTCAAACGGTGGAGTGACAGGAGGATTACATTGAAACACGAGTTAAAGTCTGAATATTTAATTGTTACAATTAGAAGATGGGGGACCAAAGTAAAATTTGGGTGAAACTTTTTAGAATGAAAACTGTAATTTACCCTTGTCTATTTTTTAATGTATTTTTCTGGTAGTTAGTTTACATAAACTTCTCAATCAATCATACTTTTGTATTATATTGGAGGTCAGTGCCATAATTTTAATATGAATGAAATTTGTCCTCTACAATCTTCAGTTTGTCCCAATTTTGTCTCTCTTTTTTTTTTTAGTTGTACATGTATATCCTCTTTTCAGATATCAAGAGGATGCTGTTCACTGCTAGTTATTTGATTTGTCTCCAGAATCAAAGCTGAGAGTTGAACACCAAGCAGCCTGCTGGTAGCAAGGAACAACGCATTGATGGTAGCTTACAATGTGAGTTTCTTCATATTATGTATGTTATATATTGTTAGCATTTGATTTCATAAATTTGTATGTTTTAAATTCTCTAGATCAATGGAGCTGAAATTATCAAGTAGCATTTGATTTCATAAATTTGTATGTTTTAAATTCTCTAAGTTTACTGTGAACACTGCTAACTCAATGAATAGAATTCCCCAATATGTATTGAATATATATGCCAAGGCCTTTTTATTGATTTTGCAATGAACTAAGGATGGAGATGTGAATCAAACTCTGTCAAATTCAAGTGTTAGTCAGCATTGCCCTTAATTTCATGTACATGGCTACAATTTTCAGCTTTTCCAAGCTCGCTTAAGTGAGTGAGCCAAAGTTTTGACATTTTTTGGGTATCATTATAGCAAAAATACTAAATAGTAAATCTTGCAATGAGGTGGTAGGGGCTTGGATTTCTTGTCAAAAGTGTTTGGGTTATATGCCCTAATGCCTGACCGTCATGTGGGATCACTCTTGTACTTGGGCGGATCTAGCCCTCTTAGAGATGCATGACATTGATTGATTACTTTTAAATCAAAATATAACAATTACTTTCAAATCAAAATATAATAATCGAAGATGGGAGGGGAGGAGAGCTTTTTGATCTACCAATTTTTAATTAATAAATATTTTTAGTTTAATGAGCAAAATACTAAAGATTTCAAGGTAGATAAATGGGGGTTCAAAGTCATTTAGCACAAGATTGCTTTTAAAATGACAAAATCCTATTGATAGTCAATGGATAAGACTTTGGATCAAGACAAATATACAATGAGGTTGTAGAATATTAATGCTATAATATTAGTGAGAGTTTATCTTCAAGTAAATCTTAATTTTATTAAAAAGTGAAATGACTTCAAATCTCATGAAGCCAATCAAATCAGCCATATATATCTAGAGCTCAATTTTGTCTCATTTTTGAGAAGTAGACATTAATATTTAGCTAGGAAAAGCCATTTAATATTAGCTCCTAATGAAAGTGACAACTGGTAGAACTATCACATCAATGGTATTACTATAAACAACAATGCCTGGTATTACTATAAAAGCTGGTTCTTTTGTTTTTTGCGAATCACTTGTTAATTAGATAACAAAGGTCTAAGAACTTTAAAAAAAAAAAAGGGAGATGAGGTTCATTGGGCTGATGTCGTTGCTTCTCCTCTTGGTTTTCCGTATTTCTCTCTCTTCATGATTTATTGGTTTTGAGCCTGTTTGGTTGTGATTTGCTTTCTATTTTTTTGTTTTCATTTTTCAAAACAATCAGAAAATTTGATTGGTGACTGTTTTCAAACAAATTTTTTAAAAACAACCCATCATTTGTTGGAGTTTATATCACTAGCTTCTCCGTACTCGCTTCTTTGTCCTCTTTAATTTCATTAGTTCATGAGATTATGTATGTCAATTAAAGTAATCCTATGAACCAATAAGATTGAAAGGGACAAAGATAAGAGCATGGAAGCCAATGAGTAATATGGATTTGCTTTTTAGAGGTTGTTTGGTTGTGATTTGTTTTTATTTTCCAAAATAATTATAAAAAGAAAATACCCTATTTTCCAAGAAGAGTTCGGCTACGCAAAAATCATTTTCTACACCCAACTCACAATGGGAGTGAATCCGACATCATCAATGGGTAGGATTCTCCTCCTGAAGGGGACAGTCCTCCTGGAGTCGACACTCCTCCTAAAGCTCAACATATTTAAAACGCAGAAAATGCACATAAAAAGTATAATAATGTGCAGCTGGGATTCATTTTAAGCATTGAGTGGATCATGCTTAAAACAAATCTAAACCACACAGTGCATTTTCTATAATATTTTTTTAAAAAAAATTTGTGCATGTAACATTGCGCTGAATAAACTTGCATGCATGTACTAATAATTATATAAACATAAACATGCATGCATACTGCTATGAGAAGATTTCATTAATGTAAGCTGTGGTTGAATTCATGACTAATTCAGGACAATTCTATTAAGTGATAAATGCATAGTAGAGTGTTAATTATTTGTATTGAGTAATTGAGAAGCACGAGGGGACATAATAAATGATTATTAGTGAGGGAGTATAACCACGTGGTACTCTGGGACTATTGCATAATTTTTCCTTCATATATATATACTAGTATATGTTTGTTCCTAAAAGAACGGTATAATTAAAATAAGTGAACAAAAAGAGAAAAATAAAAAAATAGGGAGGAAAATAAAAAAAAAGGGGGGGGGGATAAAAAAAATAAAAAGGAAATAAGGAGGAAGGTGGACTGAACACAAAATACATGAGTGAATAAAAATGGGAAAAAGATAGAAGGCGGGTGAGTAGGTAGTAGAGGGAGGGAGAGAGAGAATGCATGAGTGAACAAAAAGGGGAGAAAAAGAAGAGAAAATAAAAAAAATAGGGAGGTTAATAAAAAAAGGGAAAAAATAAAAAAATAAAAAGGAAAGAGTAAGGAAGGTAAGCTGGAGAGAGAGAATACATGAGTGAATAAAAATGGGGAAAAAGATAGAAGGCGGGTGAGTAGGTAGGAGAGGGAGGGGGAGGGGGAGGAGAGAGCGGGAGAGAGAGAATGCATGAGTAAACAAAAAGGGGAGACAAAGAAGGCATATGAGTAAAAATTAAAGAAATCTTGACTCTAGGATGAATTTGAAAATTAATCTCAACCATTGATACAAAATGTATCTTAAACATTTTGACACATTCTCAAAAACAATCCTACTTTATGAACGAGATACCTAAGATACAAAATGTATCTTAAACATATAACCCATCTGTAACTATTATATGCCAGAAAAAATCATCTTTGTGAACGAGATACCTAAGATGAACAAAACTGGAAGAAAGAAAATAGAATAGAGCTAAAGGCAAACCTAATCCTCCTGAAAGGCAGTGAACCTACTCCTCCTGGAGATGGAGATAAACGGGTGGGTGAAATGGATGAGCAAACAGTCGCTCCCTATGTTCACTCCCTAATTTTTAGACCAACCTGCTATAATAATTCCATAGACATCTAGCAAAAGATACAGCAAACACAAACTATGAAATTTCACAGTTTAGAATGCCAGCCAGTCTTGGCGGTCCTAACAAATTAATAAGGTACGGGCTGCCAAAACGTGCATTACTCCGGACAATAATCAAAATAAGAATACCAAAGTATAGTTACAACAGCTTTAGCAAACAGATTGAATTAACACTCATTGAGCAATAGCTTTCTCTTATGCAGAACAACATAGTGGCAAACCTAAAGATTTCAAATAGCAGTGGAGAAGAACACAAAATGTTTTATCGTTGATCATTGATAATTCAAATTTCTCCATTTTTGTGTCTTAATGTAACCATAAACAAGGAATGTTTTCCACAACAGTAACTGGTCTATGGACGGTTTTCAATTCACAAATTTCAACAAATAAAACCAGTTTCAACATTAAGGGTAGAACAACCTAGTTTCAGAGAAAGATTTTGCTTCTCATTCTGTAATATTCTCGTTTTCTAATTACTCAACTTCCTCCAGGTAATCAACAATTTTAGATGGTGTTAGTACTCTGCAATGGAAACAAACATCCCAGAATAATCATTCTCCGAGCATCAACATCGAAATGATCATAAAAGTACACTCAAAACACTCAAACACCAAGAAAAAGGATAACTTGCCTGAATTTTTTATCAGTGCCAATTATGCCAATCTCAATGTTCTTTTCAAAGATCTGTCCTTCAAATCTGGGACAAATATGCAGAAAAAAAAGTTATATTCTTCATTAGTAGATGTGTTAAGCATGCACTAGTCGGACCAAATACCAAAACATTCCTCTATGGAAGGGTCATGACAAGACAAGCTCAAAGCTAGCATGAATTTTAGATTCATTTAGAATGGTACATCTTTTAATATAAGTGATTGCTATTTGGACAACATAATTCTTACCCCTCCTTTAAAGTCAAGATTGTTGTGTGGACAGCATCATCAAGCTCCATATCATCTGTGTACCTGTAAGAAGCACCTTGATTAATACCAAATCATGAATGGAGACTTGGAACTGGTTCCAGAAAACTAAAAGAATTGAAACACCGACAATCAACAGAATTATTAAAAATTGACTAATTCTATGAAGCGTGGACACTTCAAAATAGCAATGTCGGACACAAGGAGATGTGCCAGACACATACGCTATCTTGTTTTTTGTTTTTTTTTTTGGTATGGGACACGGCGGGGACACGGCAGTAAGAAGAAAGAGAAGAAGAGATCCAAAATCAGAAGAAAAGAAAGAAAGAAGAGAAAAGGGAACTCGTTCATCGAGTAAAGTTCTCAGTCAATCTCCATCTCAATCTCCATTGAGCTCCATCTCAGTCGATCTCCATCACCGAACGATCTGGTAGGTAGTAAAGCTCTCATCTCTGTCTCTCTTCTCTCTCAGTCGATCTCCATCTCTTCCTGTCTCGTCCCTCTCTACTCTCTTCTCTTTATTTTATCTCTCTCCTCTCTCTCGTCTCTTTGTCTTCTCTCTCTGGTCTATCTCGTTTCTCTCTCTTCTGTTTTGATCAAACATTTATATATATATATATATATGTATATATATATATATATATATTTTTATTTAATTTTTTCTTTATAAATTTATTTTTATTATATATTTGATTTTTTTTCTTTATATAATGTTTACAATATATAGAACATGTGTTTATAATGTTTAAATGTAATTGTCTTTATATATACATTAAATTAATAGTAGTTTTTATTAATCTTGATTGTTTGGTAATATAAAATTAATCTACATAGCAAATACATAACATATATATTTAAAAAATAATAATAATTTGCCATGTCCCCTGCCATGTCCGTGTCCCCATTTTTTTGAAATCGCCGTGTCCCGTGTCCGTGCTTCATAGGATTAATTACTATTACTACATAAGTTGCATTGCACCACTTGGAAGTACTCCACAATTACAAACATTGAAGGGGAAGACCATTTTAGCCCTTAACCAGAAGGAGCAAGGATCCTCTAGAGTGATTTTTTCCTAAAGTTTCCTAGAGTGCTACATTGTGTGGTTGAGATTTACTGGCAAATCACATCAATTTTTCTGATGTGACTTGCCAATAAATCTCAACCACACAATATAGCACTCTAGGAAACTTTAGGAAAATTTCACTTTAGAGGATCCTTGGTGAACCAGAAGGGTTTCAGCTCAAATCTAATCTTGGCAAAGATTAGCTCAGCCATATGGAATGCACAAACCATACTATAAGATCTCAGCCAACCACAAAGCAAAACAAACCAAAAAAAAAATACCCTCTAAGAATTATACTCATTTCAGCACAAAAGAAAAACTAGCAAATCCCAAAGCTTTTAAGTTCCCTTTGTCTAGTTATTGTTTCATGAAGTTTCACGGATTTCACAAAGTGAAGTTGAACATAATACAATGACCATTTGCCAGCAAGCAAGAACTTAAACAGCATGCAAAGATTTTGTCAAAGCTTATGGTCATATGGAGAGGAAGACAACAAAGCACAAAGGGTAAAAAACAATCATGCTGAAAGCTCAGCTAAAACTAGCATTAAATAAGATAAGATGAAAGAAGATGATGTACTACCCTAAGATCCAACAAAACAGCCAAACATTCAAGAAATTTTTTCTTTTTACTAATAGAAACTGACCAGCTAACAGAAAACATTTATGCAGAAATTTGTAAGCAACAAAATTAACTCACCTCTTCTCAAGCAATGTCTTTGCATTAGACACATTCTTTCCCATGGCCGAGGCTTTCCAAGAGAAGTATGAACCTGATGGATCCACCTACAACACAAATTTACACCCTCAAACAACAAATAAGCCCAAGGAATCAATTTTTAGTAGAGACCTAAAGAATTTAATAATGTGTGTTATAGTATAGTTGCATGAGCATATTGTGTTAAGAGTTTTAAGGCAAGTGTTTCAAAATTGCACAAAATCGACCTTTTTCACCTTGGCATAGTCTTGAAAGGTGTTCAAGATAAAATAATGCAAAAAAAGGGTCTTCGATCGAAGCACGCATGAAGGCCACTCAAGCAGGCCACAAGGGTACTGGAAAGATTGTCCAGTAGGACCCACTGCTCCAATTTCCTAAAAGTCTATAAGCCTTTATTCGATGTGTGCTCAATTTATGTGAAACTTATAGATAGCAACTTGGTTTCTTCTGTACAAACTCTTGATACTTTAAAAAGAGAAATCTTGCATTTTGTTTGGTTAGAATTTTTCAAAAGCACTTTTTAGAAAATTATGTTTTCTTGTTTTTCGTGTTTTTTCGTTTTTATTAAATTTTTTTAATATTTTAAGCAATTTTTTTAAATTTTTAGACATATCTAACATAAATATAGCTAAAAAGGAAAAAAATTGTGCAAAAAAACCTTTTAAAAATTCACTACATACCAAAACTACAAAAAATTACGAGAATTCAATACATTTTTTGTATTTTTATGTATTTATTAATTTTTTAAAATATTTTTTTACAATTTTTTTTACTTTTTAGATACATCTAAAGTAAGATGCATCTAAAAAAGTAAAAAAATGTTTAAAATTTAAAAAATATTGACTAAAAACAAAAAATACGAAAATCAAAAAACTCAATTTTCAAAAACCTTAATCCAAAAAACTCAAACCAAACACATTGCATGTTTTTTGGAGATAAAAGATTTTTATAAAACCCATCTTTTTCAATCATTGAAACCAAGCTTATGATTTTCTAAACACTTAGTTTCATGATGAGTATTTTTTATCAAAACACGCACAAAGTCGCACTACACACCTACCCATTGGTCATTTCAGTAACTAGGCCACAAGGACCACGGATCAGAGTGAGAACTTTTGTGAATTGCTATAAGATCAAGAGGTGATTGTTAGGTTTCATAGCCACGCGGTGAATTGATGATGGATTTTATTTGACTTGGTGTGCCCATAGGTTTCTCCGTTCTCAAGGGCTTTCCACATAAATCATGTCTATTTATTTTACATGCAATTCGTGTGTGGTTGCAATTGTGATTAATAGCATAATTAAAAGTTAGCACATTGATCTATTTGTTAATTTTTAATTGGTATTCACTCCCTTCTACGCACAAAACAAGTCCCTCTCCTCCCAACAATTTCAGTGTGCCATTTAAAATTACTAATACTCACGATATAAAAACTGGTTTATGTGTAGGCATGTAATAGGAGCTGCATAAATCAATCTTAACAACTCGACTGGATTTATCCATACAGACACAAATATTCTCTGTATGGGTACAGAGCATGCATGACCAACAGAAAAACTGCAACCAATCAAGGGACAGCACTCAAAATTGGTGGGTTATTTTTTATTTTATTTATTTTTTTTGTTTTTTGTGTGTGTGTTTTGGGGTGCTAATGAAAACCACTAAATCTTAACCTGTGATATGATAAAGATATTTTTACAAGTGTCATCACTAACATATAATGCTTCTCCACAACTCCTTTAAAAAGAAAAAAGAGTACTAACTGGTTAGCGAGAATATGACCCCAGCTGAAGAGGAATAAAAACTAGTTTGTATAAATAGATCTTAAACTTTTATAGTAAAGAAAGTAATCCAACCACACATGGAAATGAATGAATCAACTAGGCAACTCGCAGCACAATTAAGGTCAGTACCAAGTGAGGACCTAAATGACATACCTGATATAGTTGTGGACCCTCGTCATCAAAGCCAGCAACCAGCAGTGAAACACCAAAAGGCCTTACACCACTGCATAGGAAACAGAAGGGTAAGAAATTGCAACAAAAATAAGCATATGCAAAAGCCAAGATCAAACCCATGGTATACAAAAAATAATAGAAGAGGAAAAGAAAATTAAATATATATATATGAAGGCACAGACCACAGGTCCATTTTGACTATGAAAAGGTCAAATACACAAAAATCAGCTTAATCTAGCTTCAAAAACCTTCAACCTAAATTTTTGCTTTCAAGTTTTCTTATGAACTCCAAAGAGTTCTGCAAAAAAAATGGTGTATTGTTCGTTTTCTAAGGATCACAAAGTTAACTTTCTAATTTGCTACATTTACATTTCCTCAAAATATACTTTTTTTCCCTTTTGATCAAGCAAGTCACTTAGCACACTACCAGCCTTATTTCTCAGTAGGGTGAAGACCCTCCTGCAAAAGTTACCTCCTAGCACTCCAAGGTTTTCATGGATCATAAGGTTACCTCTTAAAATTCTTTTTTCATAAGAATTACCTCTCAAATTCTTGCTGCATTTATTCAAAATAATTTTTTTTTCTTCTTCTTTTGATCAAAAAACTGCCTAGCACACACCCAACCTTCACGTGGTATGTAATTGGTCTCTCAACTTCAATATCAGAGTAATTTATCACATCTTAACTGGTGTGCTGGCCAGTGATGAGTTAGGCCGAAACCATTGTCAACAAACTGTTATTTTTCTTGCAACCAGCAGGGTAAATAAACCCCTGCAAAGCCTGACCTCTTTCCACAAATATACCTTAATACTAACAATACAATTTAAATTTTTCTATAAGGGACACCCAGCGGCTTAGGTCACATTCCCCCAATAAAGAGACTCAAATTCGAGCCTCTGTACCTTACCTATCCAAAAAAATTAAATTAAATTTAACATACAACTGGATTGAAATAATAAAAACTTGTCTGCAGGCAAATGCACATAAACAATAGTCAAGATTTCTAGCCAAAAAGACAAACAACATGAGATGTAAATTGATAGAAAGCACTTACCCTGACTGTGTGAATTCCTGCATAACAGCAGCAATTTCCCTTACAAGTTGAGTGACAGGAATTGGTTCCTACACATTACCATCATCAGATCACATTGCAAGTTTTAGTAGCTATAAAAGCTATAATATTTTACAACAAAAAAATACAGATAGCATAAACATAATAGAGGATTAAGTTGTGATTGCCGAAATGAATTCGCAGGGGTACTTCATGTATCCAAGGTCACATTGAGCAACATCTAAATAACATGAACCATTACTAACATATACTTGCCCATTTGAGAAACTACAAAAATGTGACCTTCAAGAAGAGCTACACACCAATAAGAAGACGAAACTCACTGT